GGTTTTGGCCTTGGAGCCAGCCAACCGTGGACTGCATCCATGAACCAAATAAATGTCTCCTCTGTTAAGTTGTGTGTGTTGTGTAAAACATGAATAATAGCCAAAGTGATTTAAGAATGGATGAAAGGAGCCAAGCATGGTGGCACACCCCTGTAATCCCAGCACTTGGGAGGCTGAGGCAGGAGGATCACTGCGAGTTTGAGACCAGTCTGGGCTACAAAGTGAGTTCAAGGCCAGTCTGAACTGCATAGTGAGACCTTGTCTCAAAAAGACAAACAAACAGGCAAGTGCTTATGCCACTGAGCTATATCCCTGGCAAAAAAAGACAAACAAACCAAAAAAGAATGGATGGAAGGACCCTGAAGTCAGTCTCCTGAGGGGTATGTCTGTGTTGTTTTATAGAGTCCTTTGCACAAGGCTGCAAATCCCATTTTACAGAGGAGTTGGCATAGAGGGCTGTGAAAGCAGGCAATTGGGGATCCATATTATTAGCATCACTTGACCCTTTGTCATGTCCTACAAGAAAGAGAGAAAGAGGGTTTGTATGTCTCAGCCTTTACTTGCTTAAATCTTAGTCCTTTTTTTTGTACCGGGAATTGAACTCAGGACCTTGTACTTGCCAAGTAGGCCCTTGTGCCATTGAGCTATATATCCTCTGCCCTATTTTCTTAAATCTTGACTTCTACTTCAGGAAGATGATAGAGCAGGGGAAAGGAGAACACACTGTCTTAGGAGTCAGGGCCAGTGGTGTCCAGAGCCTGGCTTGGCCACGTAGGGCAGCATGGCTGCTCGAGAAATGGACCTCAACACTATGGAACTCGCTGGCTTGTCTGGAAGACTAAATCAGATAGTACAGCCTAGAAGGTGCTCATTAAATATTACCCACCACTACCACCATCTTCACATCAGTTCCGTTGCAGCAGGGTAGTGCTCAATAATAAGGAGGTCAGTGCCTGGTGCTGAACTATCTGCCTGATAGATGATGGCCCCATGTCCAGGGTGACTACACTCATACTGTGCCTGATTTCCTGCTACCAACGGCTGCCGTATCGAACCTCAGAAAGGGAGCGGCTTCTAGACTACCGGTTTCCCGCTCACACAACAGTTCCTTGCGGGTGTTCCCTGCTCCGCGGCTGGCTCTCTGTTGCGTGGCTGACACAGCGACCTGGGCTCCTCTGTCTTCTGACGCCATCCCTCAGGGACTGGAGTCCTCTGTGTCCAGCTCAGAGAAGGGGAAGCACCGGACACTGTCACATCTGACTTCCGCTCACAGTCCCCCGGTGGGGTCACGTGGGTTACAGGGTGGGAAGCTATCCTGGCTGTCAGATGCTCACTGGATCTTTGGGGTGTTTGCAGGCTGTGCCGCAGTACTGTCCACAGGTCATAGGTAACGGGGCCTGGAGGCGACGGCCCTGGCTGAGTCACTGCTGATAAGTAGAGAACTGGGACGAACATCTCTTCTTCCGACTCTCACCCCAGCCTTGTCGCTCCACCCTGCTCCTTCCTCCCTCTGCCCCAGACAAACAAGGTCCCAGCACTGAGTGGACCACTGATGCCATCTACAAGTACAAGATCAAGGTGTCAAGCAGGGCTGGCCTCTCTGAGGGATGTGAGAATCTGTTCCAAAACTCTCTCTTACTTTCTCGTGTTATGTTGGCTAAATTCAGTATTCCTTGACTAAGGAGCATCACCCCATTCTCTGCCTCATATTATTATTTTTTATTTTTTTGTTTTTCTTTCTTTTTGAGACAGAGTCTCCCTATGCAGTTCAGGTTGGCCTTGAGCTCACTTTGTAGCCCAGACTGGTCTCAAACTCACAGCAATCTTCCTGCCTCAGCCTTCCAACTGCTGGGATTACAGGTGTGTGCCACCATGCCTGGTTCTCTGCCTCATTAAATATCAAGGCATCTAGGAGTAATTCTCTATTCAGTCAGTGTGCCTGAGAACAATGTCAAATACCTCAGGCACTAGCACTAATATCCTGGCTACATTAGACCGTGACTCGTTTGTGGGTAAGTGGCTGTCTAGATGTGACTGTGCAGAAATACTCAGTGAGGATGTTCCAAATACTGGATATGGGACACTTCACGTTGTTCTGTTTTGTTTTTTTTGGAGACAGGGTCTTACTATGTAGCCCAGGCCTGCCTTGAACTCACAGTGATCCTCCTGCCTCAGCCTCCCAAGTGCTGAGATTATAGGCATGTGCCACCACGCCTGTCTGGGATACTTCATGTTAGAAGTAAATTGTTTAACACAGCCTCATATTTCTCAGAGATTAGTACTCAGGTCTGAGATGGAAGTCTGACATTAACCCCTTGTCTTCTTTAGCCTATTATAGGAGAGACACTTACTTACTGGGCTGTGTGCTTTCACCTGGGCTAGTTCTCACAGAAGTTAGAATGATACATTGTATTTCTTTTTACAGATTAGGAAACAACCTGGAAACTGGCAGACTAATGGAATTTTCTATGAGGGTACTTAGAAATTATGCCTTAAAAGTGTTTCTAGTTTTATTTTTTTTGGTTCTGGGAATCAAACTTGGGACCTTGAGCTTCCAGGCAGGCACTGTGCCACTGAGCTAAATCCTCGGCCTTGTTTCTATTTTTTTTTTTTTTTTTGTACTGGGAATTGAACTCAGGCCCTTGCACTTGCCAGGCAGGCGCTTGTGCCGCTGACCTATATCCCCAGCCCCTATTTCTAGTTTTTGTTTTGAAAATGAGCCACTGGATTTCTCAAGTGCTTTATCCAGGACAGCCATGTATGTACAGTAAATGGAATCTGACACATTACCACATTACTTAACTGACCTGACTAGTTGTTTCTTTCAAAATACACAGCAGCTTGAATTTGATACACAGCCTTTGCAATATTTTTGTTTTGCCCACAGGGTTAGTTCACAAAGCTAGTTGTTTCCAACTGTCTTGTCCAGATGAAGGCTGAAGTATGCAAAAGTTGACTACCGATGAGGAAATCAGGTGCCAGGTGTTTAACAGGAAAGATAAGATCAACTAGAACACAGGGATTGCCAAAGACACCTGAAAATGTTTTGCAACCACCGAGAAAGGAAGCCTTTTCCTTGGTAGCCATAAAGGGGCATAATCTGAGTTACACCTGTTACCCCAGGGACTGCTGCTATCTTTCAGAGGAGCAACCGAAAAATCATGCCTAACATGAAAAAGTGGGGAGGCACTGGGAGCCATTGTTGATCCCTGCCCCCAAATCTCTCAACCCTGGCAGGACATGACCGACACTACAATGTAGCTCCTCCTGAAGGTTACACAAGAGCCAAAGCAGCTATTGTTTTAGCCCAGCCATTTATGTAGAAGCGCCATTTCTACGGTACAGATTCTACCATGACAGCTAAGGCTGCCCTAGATACCCCACAGCTCCTCCAAAAGATACTGGCTCTGGCTGCAACAGACTTGAAAAGCAGACCTAGCCCAGAATGTTCTGTGCGTCCGATGCTATTGCAAGTCCTGGAATAGGTCTGAAGACACAGGAGACTGTGCTTGTGCTGTCCACTCCTTCTCTGCACAAGCAGCCTCCCTGTGCTCCGGTCAGTGGTCAGCCCAGGGCCCTCCCCAGTGCCTCCCTGTGCTGTTGCACAGGTCCTCACAAAGGCCTCACTCAGGTGATCCTGTACTGTTACCTCCAAAAAGGACTTGGTAACACTGGGGATTACCAACCCTGAAGCGGTCTGGAGTCTGGAAGCAGCTAAGGCAAGGCCTGAGGCCACCAGTAAAGGTAGAAGTTGAGGTGGAGCCCGAGACCCAAGGCTGCCAGGCAAGGCAAAGGCAGAGGAGGTCGAGGCCCAGGTTGATGTCAAGGTGGAGCCCTAGGCCCAAGGCTGTCCTAAGAAAAGCTGAAGCTGAGATGAGAGGCTGGAGACTTCTGGTCCAGGAGTCAGCTGATACCTGAAGCCTGAGGCCTCCAGTGAAAAAGGGTGCCCAGGGTCAGCAGTGGCGTCGGGGAAGCGACCCAGAGAAGTCATGGGTAGCAGCAGTTCACCTCAGAGAGGCCTCAAAAGTTCCCAGGCAGCCGCACAAGGGCCTACAAGCCTCAGCTGCGGTGGAGCTGATAGGGGTGGCAGGAAGCTGCCAGGGGCTGTAACATGGTTACAGGAAGAAAAGTATAATAACCAAGAGCATTAATATAGTACTGGGAGCTAAGTGTGCAGCGCTCAGAGCCGCTGACTTCCAGGGAGCAGCACCTTGTCATCCGATTTGGCAAAAAGAACCCTTCACTGATTGCAGATTGCCAAGGAAGTGGGCTAACTTTTTTCTGATGGGCACTTCGCAGCAGATAGCTGGATTGCCTACTGCTCCCAAGACTCCAGGGATGGAGCGGGAAGCACTTTCGCAAGCTGCAGCTGATGCCGCGGTTGGGGACCGGGCGCAGGGGCACAGCGATCGGCCCGGGAAGCGCGGCCGCGGTCCTCCTGGATGAGGCCCGCTGAAGGTCCTTGCAGAGCCTCACTCTCCCGTCCGGGGAACGGCGGGCTGGGCTGCGCGGGTGCCGAGGCTCCCACCGGCGCCCGCTGGGCAGCCCCGGCCTGTCTAGCTAGGGTCTCTTCCGCCCCTGCCTTTTCACCTCGTCGGTTCCCTGGCCGAGTGGGGACTTGGTTTCATGCAGACCTCGCTCTGGCGCGAGATCCCCTTTCTCTCCTCATCCAAAGCCAGGGATGCAAACTGCGAAGCAGAACAAAATGACGGCCACAAAACCAAACACCTCGAACACGGACCGTTCCGGTCCTGAGCTCCCTCCAAATGCAGTGAAGCCGAGAATTTCTCCCCTGTTTTGCTTTGCAACTATCGCCTCGTCCCGGCACAGGCAAGAGACAGGCAGGTGGGCTTCCCCTAGGTAAAATTAAAGCCAACGCCTGCTGAAATTTGAACAAAAAGAGCTCTCCCCTTAAGCCCCTAACCCACAAAGTCTTGGCGAGCGATCCTGGGCTCCCGGGCGAGGGGCGTGGCCACGCAAGCGCAGTGGCCCCCGCGACCCGATGACGTCATCATGCCGCGCGCAGATCAGGCTCGAAGTGTGGCGGCGATGAGCCGCAGGTGACCAGACTGTGGGGCGACGGCAATTAGCATGAGCGGCTGCGGGCTCTTCCTGCGCAGGGCGGCTGCGGCTCGAGCCCGCCGGGCTCTGGTGGCCCTCACGGCCAGCCGACGCCCGCTGCGCACCAGTCCGCAGAGTCGAGCTTTCGCCAAGGAGCTCTGCTTGGGCAAAATTGAGAAGGTAAGGCAAGCCCGGCGACCCTTGCTCTGCGGTTCCCGCCTCTCGTCCTCAGGCAAGAGTGGGGTTGCGTGAGGTCAGGGTCCCCGAACGTAGCCGACGGACACCAGGGGGCGGGACGGCCGGAACTCCGGGTTCTGGAGTGACCGCGAGCGTCTGGGCGAGCGTGCGCTCTCACGGAGCGGGGCGAGCTGGGAAGTGTGGTTTGGACAGTGTCGCGGCTGTTTCCTGGGAGGCCGGGTTGGGAGAGCCGCGACGTGGGGTTTCCTCTCTGAGTCCCGTGTCAAGCTCGGTCCGCGCCCCTCCCCTGACACCTTCCAAGGGGCCCGTGGAGTTCCTTCTGCGGCCGAGCCCCAGTACTTGACCCTGTCCTTGGGAGTTCCTCAGATATCTGGCAATACGCTCTCCCTTTCAGGGGTCCCGGGACTCAGCCAGGTGCAGCTGCGTGGCTAAAAGACACGCATCATCCTCCGACAGTCAGGGGACTGGGATTTCATCTTGGCTGTATGGTTTGGAGCTTACTAGTTTTGTGACCTCGGGTCAGGGCTGTGCTTCCCTGTGCCTCAGTGCTTTGCCAGCTGGGAATAGGCGCCGTGCCCACCACCTCCTAGAGGTGCCCTGCTTTGGGCTTGGCCAGAATCCAGATTGATCCTGTATGGCAGGAGGAGTTATTTCCTGGCTTCTCTTTAGAACATTCCTCTTACATTGTCGGGCTGACCACTTCTCCATTACTGACGCAGAGCTGAGACTCAGACAGAGAATGATTTGTCCTGTTAGAAAGTGTAGACCTTGCCCTTTAAAGTGCAGGAGACTGCTGGGGGTGGTGCACACCTGTAATCCCAGCACTTGGGAGGCTGAGGCAGGAGGGTTGCCATGAATTTGAGGCCAGCTTGGGCTCCATAGTGAATTCAGGGCAACCCTGATTACATGGTGAGACCCTGTCTCAAAGTAAAAACAAACAAACGAACAAACTCCAAAACAAAACAAAAGTGCAGGAGCTGGAAACCATTTTTCCCAGAGTAAAAGAACTCAAATCTTTGATACCTCCTCCAGTCTTTGAGCCTTGGCCCTACCTTCCCCTCCCTCAGTGCCTCTGTCAGCCTTGCTTCCCATTTCACTGAGCACATACATGCAGTGGTGAGAATTCCATCCCCATGGCTACCTGTCTTCCCCTCATGCACCCATGGCACCTCCATTCTCCTTCACTGTGGAGAAACTGCCTATTTTGGCCAAGGCCCACCAGTCATTAGAGTCCAGCCCTCTCGCCTCCTCAAGGGCAGTGCTCTCCTCAACTGAAGCAGGAGACTGCACAGGATCTCCGCCAGAACAGACAAGACTCACGGAGTAATGGGCCAAAGAGCAATTTATTGCTGGCATCCCCATGGGGACTGATGTCCACTCGAGAGCCCAGAACAAAGCCCTGGTTCCACTTTTACATTGTTTCCATCCTATGGGGCAATTTTTCGTTGGAAGTCAGCACAAAGCAAAGCTGCAGAAGCAAAAGTAATGATTAAAAAGGAGATGAACAATGATCAAGCAGGCAGAAACTTCACACAGGCCTTACCAAGTCTGCTGTGCTCCACTGACCTTTACCTCACAGCTGAACCCGTACACGGCCGGGGTCAAAACCATCTGTCTCTTCAGGAGCTCAGCTACTATCAGTTTCCCAAAGCAGCTTAGCTGTACAGCTAACCAGCTTTACCCCAGGAAGTAGTCTCCTCTCTCAAAACTAGTTTTCCTCTCTGTTGGGTCTTGAAGCTGCACTATTCAGGCCAAGTCCTTGCAATCAGCACTGCACTGTCTTGGACACACTATAACCATATAGCTTCTGAAAAACCCATTATTTCTCCTCTGTAGTCTTGTGCTGGTTCCTTTTTGGCTCCTCAATGTCTAGACCTTGGCTGTGTTTTCCACTTGGATTTTCTTTTCTTTTTTGTCTTTTTGAGACAGGATCTCGCTGTGCAGTTCAGGCTGGCCTTGAGCTCACTTTGTAGCTCAGGCTGGCCTCAAATTTGCAATGATCCTGTCTCAGCCTCCCAAGTGCTGGGATTATAGGCGTGTGCCACCACACCTGGCACCCCACTTGGATTTTCCAAGGCTAGTCTGTGGATTTCTTACTATAACCATTCCCAGGATGGCCTAGCTTAGGATCATGGCTTTAAATACCATCTATATCCTGATGACTCAAATTGGTTACTCCAGACTTGTATTTTGAGTCAGGGTCTCGCTCTGTAGCACGGCTTACAGGCTGCCCTTGAATGTGAGATCCTCCTGTTGTGGCCTCCCAGGTGCCGGGATTACAGGCACGTACCACCACACCTGGCTCCCGGATTCTTTTTATGGCTATCTTTCTGCTTAGAAGCTCCAGCTGAATGTCTCCTAAGTACCTCTATTTAGTATATCTGGAAAGTCGCTCCTGGCCCCTCTCAGTCTTGCTCCTCCCAGCGGCCTTCTTTATTGTAGTAACGGGAACTTTGCAGTTGCACTTGGTCTCCTGGAAGCGCCTTTGAGTCCTTTTCTTCTCATAGTTCTCATACTCTGACAGCAGTGTTTTCTCCCTTCTCTATGTTTAGGTCGTCTTGAGAATCTAACCCTTTTACCTTGACTACCCCGGATCAGGCCACTCTCATCTCTAAGTGTTTCTGGGTCTTGAGCTGGAATGTGGCAGGGATCCTTAGGCTCTCAGAAGAGGGAGAGACCTTCGCGTCAGCAAAGCCAGTGGTTGCGTGGTGCCCTCAGCTGGATCTGGGCTGTCCCTGGGGAAGTGTCCCTGGGGCTGCTGCAGGGGTGAGTGGGAGGTAGAGTGGATGGGGTTTGGGTGTCCTCCCCATAGCAGCCTCAGTCAGAGCCATTTAGCTTTTATCTGCTTTACACATTTAATTTCTGAACTAGGTTTGAAATGCCCCACTTAATTTTTGTTCCTTGTTATCAGAGTTTTTTCTCCCGAGCACCAGGGATCTTCTCCCTGTAGCAGCCGTCCTTTGGTTGCGGCTGAAGGCCAGCCAGGTAGCAGGCCGTCTCTGTCTTCTGTAGCCTGCTCACAGGTGCCAGCATAAGCTTCCTCTCTCGCAACCTGTTACGCAAGGCCCCGGTGTCAAGGCAGGCAAGTGTGGTGGGGCGGGTGAAGCCGCTTGTGGGTTCGGTGCAGGGGACTCTGTCTCAAGGGGCTGCAGAGTATGAGAATCACTGCGTGTTTTCCTTCTCAGCCACCTTAATGATAGGGTTCTGGTAGAGAAAGGGAAGAAATCAACTGACTAGAGGTACAAAGGCTGCAGGGAAGGTTGACCACTCCTCTGATCTTCCCACGGTGCTTGGCGAGAGGTCGCCGAGAGGATTGGCAAGCCTGGCCGCTGTGACCCGTCGCTGTGCAGCAGTTGTAGATCCAGAGCTGCAGCCTCCTGCCATGCTGGCAGCGGAGGGCTGACTGGAGCCTGGAAGGCCGCAGTGGCAGAGGCTGGGCCTGCAGGGCATGCTGGGCGCACTGGCCGCCCACTGGTTTGCAACAGAACGGAGACTAAGTGATTCGCCAGGCCGTGAGGGTGGGCAGGAGCAGAGACTTAGTCCCTGTTCCAGGGCATGTGGGATCTTTCGAGCATCACAGCCGCCTCTGAGACGGACAGTACCACGTGTGATAGACGAGAAACTGGCAGTGAGAGGCGCCTTGGGAGTTGCCTGTCTGAAACCCAAAGCACGGCGGGGCCCAGTTGAATTTAGGTTGCCCTGGCTGCACAGCTGGGTCTCATCCTGGGACCCCATCCGTGAGCCAGTGTCGGTAACTGGAGGGACATGGATGACCCCACTCCCACTCAGCACCGGGAGCCAGTGACAGTGACGGGAGGAAGAGTGGCAAGAGGGTGAGGCTTGGAAACCAGTGCGCTCTTGTTCGTGGTGACATGTTGAACTCACAGTAACCGGTCAAAAGCTTTCCATTTGAGTCAAGAGCTTTCACATCCACCATCCACTGTGATTCTCACACGGCCCTTGAGTAAATGTGACCTGCATATTATGGAGGAGAAAATAGAAGCTCAGAGAGGTGATGAGATTTGTCAACAGCGTCACAAGGAGTAGGCAGCAAGCAAGGAGTAGATCTAAAGCATTGAAAATGTGAGTCCCGGGCTCTTTGGGGGACACGCTTCATCCCCTGCTGTTGATAAGGCCGCCGATGAAAATGAGGAGCAGCCTGCCTGCACAGGGAAGCGGGGACAGGAAGTAGAGTCTTCTGCCCACTGTTTTCATATGAATCCCCTGGTAAGGTTTGCTTTTTGAATCTTTTCCATGAGTCGTGTACTGCTGGCTAGACATGGAATCTAGCACATGTTTTTCCCTTTCCTTTGCAACTGATATTACTATAATGGGAGGTCCCTTAAAATTTAATTTTTAGTAAATGTTTATCATTTTTAGAATGGAGTTTTCCCATTTCCAGAGGTGAGCCAAGATGAACTTAACGAAATCAATCAGTTAGTGAAACCTGTGGAGAAATTCTTCCTGGAAGAGGGTATGTATGGTTTTCTTTACCCGTTTTCTTCTTGCCTATTTCCCTCGTAAGGGCGATTATGTTGATACTGATACCAGAGTCAGGTTAATTGTAGAGGGAGTGTCATTATGGAGTGTCATTATGGAGGCTGAAATGGTTTCTGCTCATAATAGTCTGCGTTAGGGATCACCCTAAGGACTGTTTAATGAACAGACATCTAGTTCAGTGCTTCTCCCCGTTTCCATGGTGAGGGAGCACTTCAGGCATTTCCCAAACTGTCGCAGACCAAGCCTTGTGTAAAATATGATAAAAGTGAGTACATAGAAAACCGAGATGAGAGAAGCCAAGAACATGCACAGTCCAGGCCCGTGGGTCACGTGTTGGTTGGTGTGGATACGTGAGAAATTTAGATGCCTCTGCGAGTTGGGTCTGAGCTCAGTCCTGTACCAAATGCTTGATGAGCCATTTTGATCTGAGGATCCGTAGCACCTGTGCCCCAAAGGTGTGGAGGAGCGGCTCCCACTTTCAGGGTCCCTCTATCGGGGCAGAGGGCCAGGCTGCCCCACCCAAGAGACCTGGGGATGAGGTCCCAAAGATTGTTTCGATGGATGTTAGCAACCAGTGTTTGTCCTTTAAGGAATTGAATGGTGCTCATTTCTTGCTTCAGATTAAAAATAATGTACACATGGTGCATGTCAACATAAATTTTTAGTGAACGTTCTTTCAAAACAAAAAATGAATGGAAACTGTGGCATTGATTTAGAGTTTTGCATATCTTTTTAATGTTTAACTTATTAGAATGCAGCTGGGTTCCCCTTTTTCTGCATTGAATGTTTATATCCTGTAGCCTGTGGGAAAGTACTCTTGAGGAAATTAGAATCAAAAAGGCAAATAGCATCTTACTATTAGAATAAAATAACTTCAGCCTTCTGGACCCTGGAAGCAGCACTGGTATCCCGGATGCACACTGGGAACAGCTGTTGTGCATCATGAACTGTCACTATGTTGCTGGCTTTCCTTGTGTATAAATATGTTTCATTATTTAGAAGTATTTCTTTCCAGTTTTATCCTAGTGGCTACCTTCTCATCTTCATCTGTTTTTATTTCCTTAGTCCCATCTTCTTTTATTGCAGCTTGTACCATGTGATTAGTCAGGGGTTTCCTCCTCAAGCTTTACTGAGGTATAACTGATTTACAATAAATTGTACAGAGCTTGGCATGGTGGTGCACGCCTATAATCCCAGCAGTTGGGAGGCTGAGGCAGGAGGATCATTTTGAGTTTGAGGCCAGCTTGGGCTACAAAGTGAGCTCAAGGCCAGCCTGAACTGTATAGCGAGACCCTGTCTCAAAAAGATAAAAACAGCAACAGAAATTTAGCTGAGGACAAGCCCGACTTTCGTCACAGGGACAGACCACAGCGCTAACACAAAGGGAGAACCCCAGCATCCCGCACAGGCGCTCAGCTACACAGCACAGCCAGGGTGCTGGCCAGGCCCATGCCCTGACCCCAGCCTGGTCAGCCCGCACCGCGCCCGGCCCTGCCCAGCTGCAGACATGCTCGGAACCGGGTCCCATGGAAGACGCAGCCTGGCTGTGCTCTCCCAAATCGCCTATCAGAGAAATGACAACGATGAGGAAGAGGCTGCCTGGGAACGGTGCTGCCGAGCCCTACAGGAAAGGCTGCGGCAGAAGCAAGAGGAGGAATCCTTGGGACAGGTGGCTGACCAGCTGGAGGTTCATGCCCAGAACAGTGTCCCTGATGAGGAGGCCAAGCCAACCACCACGAACACTCAGGCAGAAGGTGATGAGGAAGCTGCATTACTGGAGCGCCTGGCTCGGAGAGAAGAGAGACATCAAAAATGGCTTCAGGAAGCACTAGAGCGGCAGAAGGAGTTTGACCCAACAATAACAGACTCCAGTCTGTCACCACCAAGTCGAAGAATGCAGAACAACCTGGCAGAGAATGAGACTGCAGAGAAGGAAGGAAAAAAGGAGAGTCATCAAGAAAGATATGAGATGGGAGAAACAGAGGTTGTCACCAGGTCCTACCAGAAGAATGACTGGCAGGATGCTGAAGACAGAAAGAAAGAAGAAAAAGAAAAGGAGGAAGAGGAAGAAGAGAAGCCAAAGCAAGGGAGCACTGGAGAAAACCAGGTAGAGGCGATGGTGGAAGAGAAAACAGCAGAGACTGAAGGGGAAACGGTGGTAATGGTGTTGAAAAATGAGCAGGTTAGTGCAGAAGAATCTAAACTAGAGGAGGAGAGGGACCAAGGCTCGGGGAGACCTCCCGTAATGAAGAGAGAGAAGAGGAAGAAAGAGAAAGAGCTGAGGCAGAGGCGCTAAGGTTGGAAGCAGAAGAAAGAGAAAGAATTAAAGCTGAACAAGAAAAATAGCAGAGGAAAGAGTGAGAATCGAAGCAGAACAAAAAGCAGCTGAACAAGAAAGGGAAAGGAGGGAGGCAGAGGAGAGGGAGAGGACCAAGGAGGAGGAGAGACGGGCCAAGGAGGAACGGCAGAGAGCCAAGGTGGGGAAGGAGGAAAAGCCTAGGATAGAAGAACACAAACAAAAAAAGTAGCTAGAAGAGAAAAAGAATGAAATGCAAGAGACAGAGATGGAAGGGGAGACCGTCCAAGAAAAAAGAGAAGGGAAATGGGTAAATGAAAAGAGAGTGCAAGAAGATAAACCGCAGACAGCTGTCCCAAAGAAAGAGGAAGAAGAAAGGGGACCCAAAGGGCAAGCTCAAAGACAAAAATTCCAAGAAGACAAGCCTGCTTTCAAAACACAAGAGATCAAAGATGAGAAGGTTAAAAGAGGACAAGGAGCCCAAAGAAGAAGTTAAGAGCTTCTTGGATCGCAAGAAGGAATTTACAGAGGTGAAGTCACAGAATGGAGAACTCATGACCCACAAACTTAAAGTCGCTGAGAAGGCTTTTAGCCCCAGCCGCCCCGCAGGCAGCAGGGAGGCTGAGGGGGCCCCGCAGGTGGAGGCCGGCAGGCGGCTGGAGGAGCTGTGCCGCCCGCGCTGGGAGACCAGGAGAGAGGAGTTTGAGAAGCTCAAGCACAAGCAGCAGGAGGCGGCCCTGGAGCTGGAGGAGCTGAAGAGGAAGCAGGAAGAGGCTGACTGAGAGCCAGGGAGGAGAGAAGAGGAGGCTAAAGGAGGAGATTGAGAGGTGACGGGCAGAAGCTGCCGGAAGATGGTTTGTCAGGTGAGAAGAAGCCGTTCAAGTGTTTCACCCCCAAAGGCTCATCTCTCAAGATAGAAGAGCGAGCAGAATTTTTGAATAAATCTGTGCAGAAAAGCAGTGGTGTCAAATCAACTCATTACGCCACAGTAGTCTCCAAGATTGACAGCCGCCTGGAGCAATACACTAGTGCAGCTGAGGGAACAAAAACTGCAAAGCCTACCAGACCAGCAGCCTCGAATCTCCCTGTTCCTGCTGAAGGCGTGTGCAATATCAAGAGCATGTGGGAGATGGGGAATGTGTTTTCAGGTCCCCCGCCCCCTTGGGCACACCAAATAAGGAAACTGCTGGCCTGAAAGTGGGCGATTCCAGCCACATCAATGAGTGGCTAACCAAAACCCCAGATGGGAACAAGTCCCCTGTCCCAAACCTTCCAACTTGAGGCCAGGAGATGTATCTGGCAAGCGGAACCTCTGGGAAAAGCAGTCTGTGGATAAGGTCACTTCCCCCACTAAGGTTTGAAGCAGTTCCAGAAAAACCCAGGTTCAAACCGCTGGACCAGCTCAGTTGTAGAGGACTGATTGCTCTGTTTAATGTTTATGTTGATTTACTAAATTGGGTTCATTTTCTTTTGCTTTTCAATATCCCAGTAAGCCCATGTATATGATCACTATATTTAATAGTCACCTCTAGAGATGTTCATGGTCAACTTGGCACAGAAGCCTGTTTCAAAAGAAACCGGTGCCGTGAAATAGACTTTCCTACTGCTCGTCAGCCCTTGTCTGAACAGTGACACCAGCGACACAGCAAGTCAACAAAGGGAGATTCAAGATTAAGATTGCCTGAGGAATGGGTGCAGTATCTAGAAAAATGAACCATAGGTTTTTTTTTTTTAATAAATTCATACAGAAGTGACATTGTTTCTGCACTTTAGAGTAAAGCATGGAGGAAATTATTTAAAGTAGGCAATTGTAATTGTTTCTGAAATAACCCATATCAGATTTGATATACAGCAACAATGTGTCTTTTTAAAAAAAGAAGATATACTAAGGTATTGCTTTTTTCATGCTGATTCATATCTAAATTGGATTATTACTTTAGCTGACAGTGGTACTGATTTTTTTTAGGTTGGTTGCTTTGTGGATTTCTGTAGCCTGAACCACATTTTAGATTACCAAGTTATGTATATACATGCATACACATATACAAACACAGTAATGGAGGGGCTGGGGATTTAGCTCAGTGGCACAGTGCCTGCCTGGTAAGCGCAAGGTCGTAAGTTCAGTTCCCGGTACTGGAAAATAAACAAACAAAAAACAACAAAACCCCACAGTAATGGTAGAATGCTTTTTCATGTGCTAGACTATTATATTTAGTAGAATGTCCTTGTAACTAGCCAATATCACAGCTTTTTAAAAATTAAAAATCACAACATTATATTACTATTTCATATTTGCCAGTAGAAACATGACAAATAGGTATCAGTATGTTTTCAATGCCCGATGACCTGTAATAAAAAGTATTGCAACAAAAACAGAAAAAAAACAAAAACAAACAAATAAAAACACTACAGAGAGACTCCAGGGTGCCTGGAGATATGGAGGTGGATGGCAAGATTGGTCACAGAGGAGGCTGAGAGACCTTGGTTGGAGAGGAAATGTTTGCTTCCTGATGGTGGTGATCATTTGAGGGGTAAACACAGGTCAGAATTTAGTAAACTGTGTGTTGTAAATATGTGTACGTTTTATATGCCAATTATAGAGGTAAATAAATTCATAAAATAATTTAAAATGAGTTTTGCCTGCATTTGGGGTACCCATAATATTCTTTAGTGACGCAGGCATACTAAAAAAAAAAAATCACAAATGGAGGTGATGACTTTTTACTGTGGCTGGTGTTTAGTGTCATCTTCCGTACCCCACGGCGTCCTGTCCCTGGGGTCTGTGGAGAGGTGTTACACACTGAATGCTGGTGACTGTTCACCGTTGCACTGGTGACTGTGAGTGAACGAATGAATGAGTTGATGTTAAACAGATGAAGTCCAGGTCCACACACTACCCAGAGGGCTCTTGAGCCTGTACTGGAGGAGAGTACTGGGAACTGTGTAGTTCCTCTCTCATTTTCCGGTAGTTTTAAAAAACCAAGTGCCTGTAGGAATCTACATCTCATAAATGTGTAAATTGCTGCCATTTTCCATGGCAAAAACCACAGAACCTCACCTGTCACTCGTGCATTTAAAAAAAATACAATTCTTGCCTGGGTTGATTGTGTAAAATTGAACGCAGTTTGATTTCTGGTTTGAGAAATTTCTGACACAGAGATTGAAGTTGTACAGAGAGCTTTGTGTGTACTTTTATTTATATGAGCATAGGTGGCTTGTCTTGTGCTTAATCAAGGTATCTTCTCTTGACAGTGGACTCTCGGAAAATTGACCGGGAGGGGAAAATCCCAGATGACACTTTGGAGAAACTAAAGAGCCTGGGGCTGTTTGGGATGCAGGTCCCAGAAGAGTATGGTAAGTAGAGGAACAGCCCCCGCTGCCGTTGCCTCACGTGTGCGTTTGTCCAGAAAAGGCCGCTGATCAGAAAGGGCTGTCTTGGGGTAGGTCTGAAGCTGATGCCGGAAACTGTGGCTCTGGGCTCAACAGCCTTCACTGTCTGGGGCCGTGCCCCAGCCTTTGCCCTGGCTGCCTCCAGCCAGGGGCAGCTGAGGGTCTGGAGGTCGAGGGGAGGTGGTGGTTGGTAGTGTGGTAAGGATCAGGTGGATCCCTGGCTGTCGCCGGTTGTTTGGAGATGTACTGTTCGGGGCCTTTCCCAGCTGTTCTCTGACTTAAAGGTTTGCACAGTGAGCCACAGCAGCCAGGAGCTTGTTTTGCTCCTCTGTCCTCCTGCCTGGTTCATCTCTGGGCACTGGAGCCTCCCTTCCCCTCAGTGGAGTGGGGGTCAGCTGAGAGACCAGGGTTTGAGTCTGTAAGTGCTTGCTGGAACATATCCTAGAGCTGAGCCAGGTTCACACAGACAGAGGTGAAAATTAAGGATACAGGAATGTGCTGCCCAATTTCCTTCCTGCGTGTATTAATCAGGTTGAGTCTTTGCATGTGTGGTTCTTTGTCTCGTCACCCTGTAATGACAAGTATGTATGATAGTTTACCTTGTCTTCCTAGGGCAGGAAGCACAGCACTCATGCCTGCAGGGGGCGCAAGGCATCCCTTTTCCTCCCCCAGATCACTCACTCAGCCTCCATTGGAGGCTGAGCAGAAACCAAGCCTTTCGTGCTATCTGCAGCATGAGGGTTGACTCAAGGGACAGAGACACAGCTTTCATCACACGTGGCCACTCTGAATGCTGAATATTAGAGTAGGAGGAGGTGGGGCCAGAGCTGGAGAGGGGTGAGTGGTCTCAGGGTAAAAACCTAAGGCTGTGCCCACCTGAGGTTTGCAGTCCGGAGCTTTGGAGCCCTTTCCCCAGGCGGGAAGGGTAAGGACCCTGCGGAAACCAAGGCGTTTTTGCTGACCGCGCCTCCAGCTCCTTCCTCGGTCCTGCCCGGAGCTCGGAGCCCCCCATGTGTGGCTCCTACCTGCTTCAGAGCCCTTCTCCACGATCTGCCGTCCCTGGGTGATTGTGTCTCCCCATGATCTTTCCCATCCTCTATGGGGAAAGCATCCAACTTTCTTCCCACACAAAGCTGGCTCCCTCAGTATATGAAAGGAGGAAGAGCAGAAGTGTTTGGGATTGAAACAGAGGTTGGGTGGGGCAGGGCATTAACGTAGCGCCCAGGGGCAGCGCAGAGAGCAGGACGCTGCACACCTGCAGAGATGACGTCCTGACGTGTGTGGATGGTGACCCTCTGGGTGGGCTGCACACTGGCGCCTCATGTTCAAGCCGGCCTTGCTAGTTGTCGCCTCAGTTCATTGTTAGCAAAATGAACCTGTGGCCACCCAGCCTCCTCTAGAAGTTGAAGATTAAATACCAAGTACGTAAGTTCAGTGGAAGTTTTAATCTTTCTCTTTTGAATCCTTTCATCTTTTTTACTTCTGAAGGGGTGATTCCCGGAACAGAATGTCCAGGGAGCATTTGGCAGTGTGTGGAGACGGTTCTGGCTGTCAGAACTGTAGGGGTGGGCGTTTTGCCTAGCATCTAGTGGGTGGAGCCCCAGGATGCTGCAGAACCCCCTGGGGTGCCTAGAAGCCCCCATGGCAGGGAATGAGCCATCCCCAGATATTGGGGGGGAGTCGCAGAAACCCTGTCCCGGCGCCACCAGACGCTGGGCAGTGGGGCACTGTAAAGGTCCACGTCTGGTAGAAGGAACTTGCACCACCTGTAGAGACTTATTGTGTACATAGGTGGCTATATTAAAAATATGTTTATGTTTGTATGTCTAAAAGAAGTCTGCAGGGATGCAGAAATACAAGCTTATAGGTGACTTGTTTTCCTTCTATCTTTCTGTAATGTGATTTAAAAAAAAATTGGTGATCTATATTACTTCATGATTAGGAAGGAAAAACCTGGTGAAACCATTTGCATTAGTGGGAAGAGTCCAGCTAGACCCTGACCAGTGCTGTTGTGTCTTCCAGGCGGCCTGGGCCTCTCCCACACCATGTACGCCCGGCTGGGGGAGGCCATCAGCCTGGACCCATCCATCACCGTGACCCTCGCGGCGCACCAGGCCATCGGCCTCAAGGTCAGCTGTGTGGGGCTTCTTGGGTCTTTCTGGAGGAGATGGAAGGCAGGGGCTTGGTCACTCTGTGGTCAGTCTGGCCTGCTGGCTCAGGGTCTTGGAGGAAAGCAACAGCAGCTGCTCTCACAGCGCCCCCCTCCCCTGGCCCACGTGAGCAGAGGCCCGTGGCTCCCACTGTCCCTTTGCACTGAAGCCTCCTCCTGTCCCCCTCGAGTCTGACCCATCCTTCAGGATACAGGTCTGATGCGAACCTTTGTGCAGGGCTGGAAGTGAGCCTCTTTCCTGGCCTGTTGTCCTGCTGTCCGTCCACAGGCCTTCCTCATCCCAAGAGGCTCAGAGCATGTTGGGACAGGTTGAAGGTCACATGGCTCTCAGGGCCATTGTCATCAGTGTTACCTTTGCTCAGCATAGATGTCAAAGAGAGCTGAATGAGCGCTCACTCCACCGGGACTAGTGCTCACTGCAGTCATGTGACAAGGTGAGGCACAGCCCTGACAGGGACCGGCCGCCTTGTCTGTGCTGGTGTGGTACCAGTGCTCCTGTCTTCACCTCCCATCGCTCAGACCACCCAGCCCGAGTGGGGAGTTCCCCGCTTGTAGGTCGTGAGGTAGAGGCTTGCAGGAGGACATTCCTTGTCCAGGACTACCTGGCCAGGCAGTGGAAGAGGCCCTGGCCCCAGACCTCCACCGGTCGTGTGGCTACTGCCCTGGATGTGTGCAGCGGCATGGCTCCCTTGTTCTACTTGAGCTCGGGGCCCCTGTGCTCTCTTGCATGGAGTAACTGCTGTCCTCAGAAGGGCGATGTCTCCGAGCACATGCCCCGCTCTCTTCTGATGGCCTGTGTGTTTGTTTTAGGGGATCATCTTGGTCGGCACTGAAGAGCAGAAGGCCAAATACCTGCCCAAGCTGGCGTCTGGGGAGCACATTGCCGCCTTCTGCCTCACGGAGCCAGGCAGGTCTGTCCCTCCTGGATGTTTTATGAGATTCCCTGAGACAAAGGGCTGCTGTCTGTGTGGACAAGCTGATTGGTTTTCGTCCCTATCCAAAATTTTTGAAAGAATCAGCCCATCACCTTCTTGCAAGTTTTCTTGCCGGAATCTGACTTCTCTTCGCTGAGATAATAACCTGATAGCATCTACTGAATCAGTATTTGTGGGTCTGCAGCCCCTGGACATTCAGGGTTGCTTCTCTCTGAGGATTTGGGGTGATTAGGAGTTGAGATCCTAATCTCAGCTGTGCTGTGATCTGCCCAAGGTCACATAGCGAGGATGAGTAGGGCAGGGAGAACCCAGGCCTTCTCGGCAAGTCTGTCACTCAGCTCGCTCCCTTGGGAACCTGCAGTGGTCATGTTCCTGCAATAGAGGTGAGAGGGACAGATGTCCTGTACCTTGGAAAGCCGAGCAGGTCTGTCGTCTGACCCTATATGTAGAAGGCTTGCTGGCTTCTGTACACAAGTGCCGCTCACTTCTGTTCCCAGTCCCCCAAAGCCATCCTCATTTATCCCTATACTGTCCTGCCTTGACCATGTCTCTGTGTGTGCAGTGGGAGCGATGCCGCCTCCATCCAGTCCAGAGCCACGTTAAGTGAAGACAAGAAGCACTATATCCTCAATGGCTCCAAGGTAGGGCCCTGCCTCTCTGCTGGTCAGGTCTGCCATGGCCTTCACCCCTGCTCGGTGACCACTTTGCACCCTGCGGAATTGTTGCCGGTCTGCACGTCCTCCCTTGACCTGTCTTGACTGCCTGTTGGGTGGATGCTACTCCTTTTCAGCAAGATAAACTGCAGCTCAGGGTGGCTAAGTAACATGCCCGAGGTCTTACATCGCTTCCGTGGCAGGGCAAGGACTGGCGCAAGGGATTCTGGCTCTGGAATCTCCACGCTTCTGCATGCTGCCTCCTTGAGCGACTGTATGTGTTTGTTTAAAAGTTTTCCTCTATAAAGGCCCAGACAATACAGCCGGGTATGGTGGCGCATGCCTGTGACCCCAGTACTCCGGAGGCTGAGGCAGGAGGATTACTTGAGTTCAAGGCCAGCCTGAGCTACGTAGTGAGACCGTAGAATATGTTTAAAAAATAAACATATTCATAAACATATGAATATGTTTAAAAAATAAACATATTCCAAACATGTACAGGATCGCTGGGATGCCCTGCTGTGAAGCTGGCACCCAGCCACCGTGTTTCCTCTGTTGGCCTTACCACTTCTGGGTGGTGTCTGTGACAGTGTCAGCACGCAGGTCTAAAGGATAGGAAGCCATGACACCATTATCACCTGGAAAATATGGCTTAGTTTCTTACCAGCTGGTCAGCTTTTGGGTTTCCCTGATGATGTCATACCTTTTTCCCCTCAATCGTGTGCGTGAATCAGGACTGAAGTAAGTCCTGGCCCTCACAGTGCTCAGCAGTGTTTTCCCTCTCCATTCTCCTCCCTTGCCTTCTGCCTTTCACCTCTCCCTCCCTTTTTTACACTGACAAATCCTGTGAGGCTCGGACCTCTCTGTACCCTGCAGAATGATGGAATCCCTCCTTGTTTAAAGCTCCCTGTCAGTGGTGTCCGAGCCACGTGAATGACCCTGGCCACTCCCCCACCCCAGCCTCCTGTTTCGGGAACGTCCGTGTTCTGGGGAGACTGGGCCGAGCCCGTCCTCTGTTCGTGCAGGCGTGGCCTCTGCAGAGCCAGGCATTTAGGTGTCTGCCCCGAACTTTGGTGGGCGGCTGAAGCTGGAAGACAAAGGGAGCCGAGAGGCGGCTGCAGAGACCTTTTGCTGTCTTCCTTCAGGTCTGGATCAGCAACGGAGGACTGGCCAGCGTCTTCACGGTGTTTGCAAGGACCGAGGTGGCTGATTCCGACGGCTCGGTAAAAGACAAAATCACAGCCTTCATTGTTGAAAGAGACTTCGGTGGAGTCACTAATGGGAAGCCTGAAGACAAGTTAGGCATTCGGGGTTCCAATAGTAAGTGTGTGCATGCATGTGTGTGCGTGAAAGAGAGCAGGCAGAGGAGAGAGCAACCCATCTTCTACTCTGTCCGAATACCAAAGTAAACTGAGATTTAAATCCCTTCGGTTTTAAGTGAGATTTTAGCAGCTCGAGTGGAGGTGTAACGCACGCTTCCCTGGTGAGGCAGATGGGCTCCTGCCAGTGAACCCCATGTTGAGGCCGCGCCGGCTGTGCACCTTGGCTGGAGGAGGTAGCAGACCCACAAAGGCAGGGCGGCGGGTGTGTCAGGCAGACGCCCTACGCAGGGCCTCCCGTCTTTTCCCTGACACCTCTATCCTCTCGCTCCCCCACCCTTCCCGGGCCACTCCTCGTCCCTGGAAGCACTTGGTTCCCCGGAGGCTGGTGGCCTGGTCCCCATCCTTGACCTGTCCAATGCTGGAAGCCAGTCAGATGGCAATTTCATCGCATTTTACCCTACCCTCTTCGAGCACAGTTGCAGTAGCAGAAGGAACGATCAGCAGACGCCAGCTTGCCAGGCCAGGCTTGGCGCCCCTTGAGCCCAGACCCATCCCGAGCCTCCTTTTCTCTGGTGCACAGTGCCAGGACCTGCCATGCTTACGTGACAAGACTTGCAGACACACAACACAGAGACCGCGCCCCTCCCCGCCCCATCTCCCCTCTGTCTGCGTCGCCCTCACACGACCTTGCCCCTGGAGTGAGTGAGTCTCTGCAGGGCTGCAAGCTCCCTGCCTGATGTATCTCACAGCTTAGGTCTCAGCAGGGGCCTTTCGTTTCCTGACATCCTTGGGTGCCCGAGGTAGCCCGCTGTAGGCCGTGGGTTGGTTCAGTTGGCTTGTGCGTGTTCATTACCAGGCAGGGCACGTACATCTAAAAACCTTGCTCACATTGGATCGGCTGCACTGCACTGGCCACACCCCGCATCAGGGGCAGGGACCCAAAGTATGAGCTCTGCAAAGACAGGGGCTTCGCCATCCGTCCCGTTCACCCTGTTCCTGAATGAGCAAAAGAACGAACGCGGGCACCAGTGAACGAGTGAGCTGTGGGTCAGGGGCACAGTGGTTGGCATTTGTTAAGTAAGACCTCACATTTCCTGTTACAGCTTGTGAAGTCCACTTCGAAAACACCAAAGTGCCTGTCGAAAATGTCCTTGGAGAAGTTGGAGGGGGCTTTAAGGTGAGTGGTCGGCGGAGGCTCGTGTGAGCAGTGTACGCTTTCGCACACGGGGTGTGTTGGGCCCACGTTCTGTTCCATCCCTGCTCCTGTGTTTGGCCTGTGAGCAGGAGCGCCTCTCTGGTGGGAGATCAAAACATGGAGACGGGAAAGTCAGCTCACTCCCAGAGGAGGGAGTCTTGGTTAGGATCTGGGTCTTCCTTCATCACCAGGGCTTGCTCTCTTTTTTTTGGTGCTGGGAATCAAACTCACGACCTTGTACCTGCCAGGCAGGTGCTTTGCCGCTGAGCTGTATCCCCAGCCCCACCAGGGCCTCTCTTGCCTCGAGTGAGGAATGGGTCCCCTTCCCCAGTGGGTGGCAGAAACAGGGCAGCAGGCTCTTGAGAAGCTCAGGTTTTGGGACTGCACCAGGTCTTGAGGTCTTGAGTCCTTGTCCTAACTTTTTTTCCCCCTAACTTGGAGTTCGGTTTATTTTTTTTGAGAAATAATTCATATAACATAAAATTTACCCATTTAAAAACACACATGCTAGTTCTTTTTATAGCTTTTTTTTCTGTTTTTTTGAGACCGGGTCTCGCTATGCAGTTCAGGCTGGCCTTGAGCTCACTTTGTAGCCCACACTAGCCTCAAACTTGCAACAGTCCTCCTGCCTCAGCCTCCTGAGTGCTGGGATTACAGGCATGCGCCACCATGCCCGGCATGCCAGTTCTTTTAATACCTTCTTTATGTTCTATAGCTATCACCTCTATTCCCGTTACCCCCAAGAAAGAAAAATCGTACCTCCAACCCTGCCTCACCCCCATCCTTTGGCAACTGCTCTTACTCTGTGCTTCAGTGGTTTTGCTGTGTGAACATTTTCACATAAATGGAATCACACACTGTTTCGTGGTAGGCTTCTTCAGCAGGATAATCTTTATTTGTCCACATTCTGTCACATGAATCAGTGCTTACATCCTTTGTATGGCTGGATAATATTCCAACATGTGGATGGACCACATTTTTGCGTTCATCAGGTTATTTGGGTTATTTCTACTTTTTGACTGCTTTCAGTAATGCAATTTTGAACATTCACATTCAAGTTTTTGTATGGAAAGTGTATTTTCTGTTCGCTAGGTTATGTACCTAGGAGTAGAATTGCTGGTGACATGGTGAGTGTACGTTTAACTTTTTGAAGAACTGCCGAACTGTGGCTGTACCATATTTTGCCCACCAGTGCAGGAGTGTTTTATTTTTCCACCTTCACCAACATTTGTTACTGTCCACTCTTGAAATTTAAACCCACGCTAGTGAGTGTGGAGTGGTGTCTCAGTGTGGGTTCAGTTTGTATTTCCCTCCTGACTAATCCCGCGCAACATCTTTCAGTGTGCTTATTAGCTATCTGCATATCATCACTGAGGAACAAACATCTTTTCCCACCCTCAGCCCATTTTGAAATGAGGCCGTTTGCCTTTGTTGTTCTGCCCTGGTGTCGCCCTGAGCAGCTCCACCCATCTTGGCCGTGAAACTGGGACTGAAGTCAAGGCTGCTTATCCAAGGCTCTGGCACAGGAGCTGCTCAGTGAGTGCAGAGCAGAGGGCCAGAGAGCAAAGACAAACAGGATGAGGCTGTGCGCAGCGGGAGGTTGTTTATTATTTATGTAGCCCAGCAAATTAGAGAATAAAGGCAAAGATACAAAATTAAATCACGCAAAGCCCATCCCAAGAGAGTTGCTGTTGGTCACACGTTTGGTGCTTTTTAGATTGTTTAAAATAACACGTAGCGAGTGCTTACTTTGTGTGTGTTCTGTACTATAGCCCGCTTTTCCACTTATCAATAAATCACAAGTCTGTGCTGATGAATATATGCGATTGATGCTGCCCAGTATGTCTTCACATCCTGTACCTATTTAATGTTACCAGGTTATAATATGATACTATCGCCTTGACTTCATAGCTATTTGGAATCATGTTGCAGGGTCTGTGTGCTTGGGTATATCCTTGCACACTTGTCTAACTTCTTCCTTTTTCCTTTTTTTTTTTTTTTCCGGTCTTTTTGAGACAGGGTCTCACTATGCAGTTCAGGCTGGCCTTGAGCTCACTTTGTAGCCCAGGCTGGCCTCAAACTCACAGTGATCCTCCTGCCTCAGCCTCCTGAGTGCTGGGATTACAGGTGTGCGCCACCATGCCTGGCTTTTTTTTTTTTTTCCTCTTTCCTAAGTTTAAACACATCAGTAAGTCTCCTGGGTCAGAGGAACGACCTGTTGTATATTCCCCATCCCTGTCGCCAAGTGTCTGCAGAAAAGGTAGACAGGACTGTGGTCTTCTGGCAGTAAGACAGCACCTCTTCTCAGTCCTTCCAACACTTCCTTTTTTCTTGTGGTGCTGGGAATGGAACCTAGTGCCTTGCATGTGCTAGGCAAGCACTTCACCATGGACCTACACAGCCTTGATACTGTATTTTTAATTTTTTTCCATTATAATTGGTAAAGAGTGGCTGTTGTAGCATGCAGGGGAAAAAAGATTTCTAAAGTTCTGCAGTTGTTACTAGCAGACTCCTGCAGCTTTGCCTAAATACTCACTGCGGTGGATCCAGAGGCCATAAAGCTCTGAAGGATGGGGTGAGAGTTCAGTGGGCGGCAGCGTCACTGGCCATTCACAGGGAGCCCTCTGGCCGGTCAGGGCGGCTTCCAGGCTGTGGCACTGCGGTCGGTGAGCGCAGTCGGGGCGAGTGCCTGTTCCTCTGCCAGAGAGCCAGCGGGGAGGGAGCAGGGACCTGGTGGCCTCTGGCTGAGCTGCCTGGCTCATGCGTGTGAAGGCTTGATGTGAGGCAGATGCTGGCTGTGGGACCTTGGGAGCATCACTCACCACCCTGAGCCGAGGCCGCTTCATCTGGGACTGGCTTCTGACCCTGTGGCATTACGGGGAACATCGGTGCAGCTTGCCGAGTACACCCAGCTGGTCCGAGTTTCCACGCCCTGCCCCTGAGCTCTTGGGACCGGACTGTGCAGTGGCGCGGACTGTAAGGATGTGGGGGAGCTGCAGCGGTCACTGAACCACCTTGCTCGAGCGCTGGGTGGGACGTGCCTTCGGGCCGGAAGGAGTCAGGATGATCACCTGCCTTTGTTCAGGGGAAACAGGAGCGTGGTCGGATCTATTTCTCGCGCCCCCATCAGTGCCCTGGGCTCTTCTTGCTTTCCCGACAGTTGGCCATGAACATCCTCAACAGCGGGCGGTTCAGCATGGGCAGCTTATCGGCAGCAGTGATCAAGAAATTGATTGGTAGGTAAGTTGGGGCCAGGGGCCCTTTGTGGTATCGGTGTCGCACCGCGGGAGGCTGCGCTCCTTTTCCATGTGGGCAGGTGCTGAGCGAGGCTGCCTGCACAGTGGCCAGCTCAGGTTCAGCCTCTGCGCTTTGTCCTCAGCTGGGCCCAAGGGTTGGTCCTTGTATTTCATTCAACACTCATGTCTTAGCGGCACCCAGAAGGGAGGAGGCGGCGCATTCTGCCCAAGGCAGGGCCACTTGGTGGGCTTGGTCCTAGTGGCAGTCCTCAATAGATCCTTGTCTCATGGGTGAGGCTGCACCGTGAGGGAGGAGTGGGGTCAGGCTTGAGCCCAGGGCCCTTGGCTGCTGGACCTTTCCTTGTTTCGTCTGCGTGGAACCCAAGCTTCTCCCTCGCCTGAACGTGAAACAGCCCAGTGACCATTCTTGCTGTGTGGCCATGGCCTTGGCGAAGGGGAGGTTCTGGGAAGAGCACGCTCATGCCTCAGCGTTCAGGGTACGGTGGGCATAGGAAGGATCTGGTGGGTTTCCTCCCTGTTTGACAGCCGAGGACACAGGCCTACCACAGGCAGGTGGTTTGCCGCAGACCCATGCCTGCACCTACACCAGTGCTGTCAGGGCGGGCTTGGGGCTCCTCTGCCGTGCTGCTTGCAGGGCCCTGCTTCTTCTGCAAGAGCTTTGCAGGGCGCTCACAGTCAGCACCAGCAGCAGAACCTCTAACGAGACCCCACGGCCCAGAAATGTGTGGGGGTGGGGCCCTTCTGGGTGACGGGGGCGCCCCACGAAGCACTTGGAGCGTGGTGTCTGGGCAGACCAGGGTTCCCAGGACCCGGTGGAGGCTGGTGTGTCACTCAGGGTGCTCAGAACTCGGCCCCAGGGCCACATTCTGAAAGCGGGGGCCTCTACTTTTCCCCTGTGTCTTCGTAGCAACTCTGGTCGACAGTTTTGAGGAAGGTGGAGTGCTTGGCCTGGGCCCCTCCGCAAAGATCAGGGCCAGGCCGCAGGTCTGTGTGTGATCAGAGCCCTGGGTGCTTTCCTCCTGCCGCAGCCTGCCGTGCCCACGTGGAGCAGATGTCCTGCCTCTGACCCACAGGTGCCGGGGCAGGGGTCACTGGCTTTGTGGTCGCAGACATGGCTTCTTAGTGCTGCGGTGGGGTCGAAGGGTAATGGTGACCGGGGCCTAGGAGATCACATTTGGATAATCAGAAAGGTTTGGGTTCTTTCTAACAATTGTGTTCTTCAGAACTGACTGCCGAATACGCCTGCACAAGGAAGCAGTTCAACAGGAAACTGAGTGAATTCGGATTAATCCAGGTACTGAAGGCTGTGACCTCCCCATGTGGGTGTGCGACGTGTGTGGTTGCGGTCTCTGTCCTGGCGCCCCGGGCAGGGGCCTGGCTGACACAGGCTTCTGTTGTTAATGCTGGCTTTGCTCCCTCGGGCAGTGAGGCTCCCAGCCTTGTTAGCGTCTCTCCTGGTTGTCAGACTTGGGTCTCAGCCCATGACCGTGTTTTTTTCTAACACCCTAGGAAAAGTTTGCACTGATGGCTCAGAAGGCTTATGTGATGGAAAGCATGGCCTACCTCACCGCGGGGATGCTGGACCAGCCAGGGCTTCCGGACTGCTCCATCGAGGCAGCCATGGTGAAGGTAGTCCCAGCGCGGCCAGGAGCAAGATGCCCCACTGTGGCCTTCGCACGCATTCCTCTTCTCCTTAGTTTAAGGGTCAGCTCATCCTCGATCCAGATGCGCAGCTCTGCAGGGACAGGCGGCGCCCCTGGCATGCAGCTGGGAGAGGTGGCAGAGAGCAGTGCCCAGCGGGGCGTCAGTTTGTCCCCTGAGGCGTATGCCGAGTTTATACTGGCAGACCAGTGGCCTGGACCACTGGAGCCACAGAGACAGGCTGTGAAACTTCACATCGGTGTACTCAGCAGCTGGGCGCGCCTGCGGAAAGGGTGCTTTCTTCTGAGTCAGTGGCCTCCTTACTTCTGAGACCGTAACTGCCTTTTATACAGTGTTTGATGAGGCAGATACCAGAGTTTCCTGCTGCTTTTGTTTACGGGGTGTCATTTGTCTTAGCTACACTGAGAAAGACGGCAACCCTCCTTTGGCCCCTGGAAGTGCTGGGGGCCTCTGGAAATGACCTCTCGAGAGGGATGCTGACAGGTCTGGCAGCCTGGAGAAGCAAGTATTCTGAGGCGGCAGGAAGGGCAGGGGCAGAGTGGAAAGTGAGTCTGTAGGTGCAGCTGTGTGCTGGATTCGATGGCTCCGGCTCATGGTCGCATCTGCCTGTCCCTCCAGCAGTGCCACCACCGTGACCGGTGGCTGTGCCCTGACCCTCTGCAGATGCTAAGCCTGGAGCAGTGGTGGCAAAGCTCTGGCATGCGTGCCGCCGCGGACTGTGTGTATCACTGAAAGCTCTACAAGGCTCACCATCACTGGCCTAGAGCTAACGGACGAGTCTGTGCTCTGGGACGCTCACAGAAGGGACAGGGAGAGACAAGCCCTAGTCATGCAGAGTTGGGGGTTGCAGGTGGCTAGGGCTGGGCAGGAGCGAGTTGCTCCCTGGAGAAGGGGGAATTCTGGGTGGGTTTTAAAAGCACAGGGTTGACCCTGCTGAGGAACACAGATGTGAAAGGTCGTGGTGGGGTAGCAGCCTCAGGAAAGGTCAGCGCTGTCAGCAAGGCAAAGGCGCTGCCTGCAGCCGTGTTCTCCTGGGGCGAGTCTGACCCCAAGGTCCAGGTTCTTCCACACTGCCTCCCTGCTGTCTGGCCAGCTCCTCCCCGAGGTGTAGGTCCTCCTCTCGGGAGGGATCGGGCCCCAGCACCCTGTGCTCACCTCGCGTCTCGGCAGGTGTTCAGCTCCGAGGGTGTCTGGCAGTGTACGAGCGAAGCGCTGCAGATCCTGGGGGGCTCGGGCTACATGAAGGACTACCCCTTCGAGCGCATGCTGCGCGACGCCCGCATCCTCCTCATCTTCGAGGTGAGTGCTTGGCTGCAGACCTCCCTCGGATGTCCCTGCCCCACCCTGCCTTCCTGGACCTGGGATGCTGTGGGGCAGCAGGGCTGTCCGTGGCCCGCTGTCTGCTCATGGGCCCACCTTGCAGAGGGAGGCATTGCGGCTGGGGAAGGCCAAGCAGTCAGTTGGGTTCCCAACGGCCCTGTCCACTGAGCCTGTTGCCTCCTGGTCATCTGCGTGGGTCTTGGCCACTTTGCTTCTGGGACAAACTTCCAGTGGGAGACGCTGGTTCCAGTCGCAGCTCCAACGGTCTTCACTATTCCAGCCAGAGGCAGCGGACATGTGTCCCACACTGGCTGTGCCCTGGGCATCGGCAGCCCCACCACCAGGGAAAGCGGGTGTCGGTTTTAAGGAGGAGTCGGGGCTTAAAGAGAAAAGTGGCACAGCTGTGACTTGCATGGCTGGCCGAGGGGGAAGGTGGTGGTCCCCGTGGGAGGCCATGTTCTCTGGTCAACTCCCCACCTCACTGTGACCCCTGGTCACAGCCCGCCTCTCCATGCTGAAGTGGCAGTGAGGGAGTGGGCACTCCACCGCCTGGCATGCACAGCACTGCCGGGGCTGCCCGGTGGGATGGCTGGTGACGTCCATGCTACCGGCTACAGGGAACCAACGAGATCCTCAGGCTGTTCATCGCTCTGACAGGCCTGCAGCACGCCGGCCGAACCCTGACCGCAAAGATGAAGTAGGTGCCGTTCCCTGGTCCCCTCCTTGGCCTGCCCGCCCTGGGATGGGAGGGGACAGCGGGAGTGGGGATGCAGCTCTGCAGCACACCCAGACCAGCAGCATGGGGTGGTGACTGCAGGGGCTGAGCTCAGCCCCCACCCCAGGGCAACGGGAGGGGCTGGCCGCCTAGGGAGGGAAGCCCTCACTGCCCTGCCCGCCCACGTGACCTCCGTCTCCTCCCCTGGCAGCCACTGCCTCCCACGCTGTTGTGCCTGGGGTGTCAGCTGAGGAAGGAGGGTGTCCTCAAACTGGTGGCCAGCCCCGAGGCCCTCTCTCTTCACTGCCCCTCCTCCTCGCCTGCTCCTCCTGCCCTTATGCCAGGGCAGAGCCATCAGATTTCTGCTAGAGCCCGAGTACGGGTTGCCAATGGCAATTTTTAGCCTACTTAATTGGGAAGGGAGCCATTGGGAAGCTGGCTGCATGCACAGGGTCCCTGAGGAGAGCAGCTGCTTGTGACAGGCCAGCAGTCACTCTGTCCCCACGAGCCCCACGTGCCCAGCTGAGGAAGGGGTACGGAGCTCCAGGGGGCCCAGGAGCAGCGGTGCAGCCTACAGCCATGGCACCATGGCCTTTCTGCAGTGAGTTGAAACGGGGCAACATGAGCGTAGTCATGGAGACTGTTGGCCGGAGGCTTCGGGACTCTCTGGGCCAGACTGTGGACATGGGCCTGACAGGTGATCTTGGACTGGTGCATCCTAGTCTTGAGGTGAGTAGGCCCAGGAAGAATAACCTGTCCCACAAGAGCTCCCCATTCAGAGGGCTGTGTCGGGGAAGAGGAGGCACCTGCACCCTGCTGTCCCTTCGGGGCCGCGAGCCGTTGGGCAGGTGCCACGGTGCTTGCACCACATGGCCTGTGAAGCCCTGGGTTGGGCGGCCACGTGGGATGTGGCGCTGAGCACAGTCCTGTCTTTCGGTTGAGCAGGACAGCGCCATCAAGCTTGAGCAGAACGTCTTTCTCTTCGGCCGCACAGTTGAGGCACTGCTGCGCCGCTTTGGAAAGGTAAGAGGGCTCTGCCAGGTGCGGAGCCCAGCTCGGCCCCCCAACATGCACAGCAGCCACAAGACCCCTGTACCCACTCTTGGGACCAGGCCTAGAAAAAATGTAACCCGGTGTGGTGGGATCGCTGCTGGCAGATTCCCGCCGGCTTGTCCTGGACGCATCCTGGGTGGGGGCCTGAGTCCAGGGGCTGCACCAAGGGGCTCTTGAGCTCGCTAAGCACCAGCCTCAGTCAGCTGAGGTTCTAGGAGCTGAGCTGACCTTGACCCCGACCCAAGCGGAGAGCATGAGGGCTTGGGCGTCCGGCCTTGCCTAGCCAGCGGGGAGGTGTCACTGCCCCACGTCCTTGAGGCCTGTGAACTGAGGCCAGGGAAGGGGCCGGGGCTAGGCAGCCGTCTCCACTCTGAGCCCTGTCCCCAGAGCATCGTGGACGAGCAGCTGGTGCTGAAGCGGGTGGCCAACATCCTCATCAACATGTACGGCATGGTGGCCGTGCTGTCGAGGGCCAGCCGCTCCATCCGTATTGGGCTCCGGGACCACGACCACGAGGTGAGCCTGCCCAGCCCCACTAGGGAAACAGGCTTAGTGACCCTGAGTGACTCGCTCTTGGGGACAAAGCAGGTTTGGATCAGGACTGGAGTTACGACCCAACACTGAGACTTCTGAGCCAGGCCTTTATCCCCCTGCACTTTAATGAAGTCAGTGGCTGGAAAAGTGGGGAGTCAAGTGGCGTGGCTCTGCGGGGAGTTCTGATGGGAAGCAGTGGCGTCCTGTGCCTTGGCCTTGGGTGCGACCTGCTGCTTGGGAGACGGGGCCAGTGCCTTTGGTCGACAGCCTAGAAGAGAGTGACGGCGGTCCGTGAAGCATGTCCCTTCCCCCACCCTGGCCCGGCTGGGGGAGGCGGATGCAGTCCCTGAGCGTCCGTTACGGGCAGTGGCCCACAGCGGCCCAGGGACATTGGGACTGTGGCACCTGCCTTACAGAGAGCAAACAGCCTGAGAGGTGCAGAGTGACCTGCTCTTGGGGACAGAGCCAGTTTGGGTCAGGGCTGGAATTAGAACCCAGGGTTGTGTGACTTCCGAGCAGGGTGTTTGACCCCAGCCGCGCTACCCGGTCTGGCCACAGGCTGGGTTCACGGGGACTGCAGGGCTCCACAGCCATTCTGCCCGACCTTGTTTCTGCAGATTCTGTTGGCCAACATGTTCTGTGTGGAAGCTTATTTTCAGAATCTCTTCAGCCTGTCTCAGCTGGACAAGGGTAAGTGGGGGGACTTCTGGGAGGGAAGAGTGGGCCAGGTCTGGGCTCTGGGGGACAGCTGTGTGCTCCCAGAGCAGCTGCCCAGCCAGGGAAGAGGACAGACATCGTACCTGAGGTGGGAGACAGCGTCTAACCTGCCTGCAGCCCCGCACTCCAGCAGGGGCCTTGGCTTCGCCCTGGGGAATACGGGCCTTGGCACCGGCTGCCCAGGTTGCTGGGATGCTCCTCCTCTTCCCTCGCCACAACTGTGGAACTTGTCCAGCTCAGGGTCTAACCCTCGGGTTGGTGTCTCCTGCAGAGCCCAGCCCTGCTGCCAAGTACGAGTGGAGAGGGCCACCGTGGCCCTCGTGGGGAGACGGCACCCTGCGTGGCCGAAGGACTGGCCTGTGTAGGGGGTGTCTGTTTGCTGACAGGCTTCTCCCCACCCTGACCTGAGAAGACCGGGGTTTAGCGTAGGACGAGCCCTTCCTATTTAGGATGAGGTCTCTACCCCAGTGATGGCAAACCTTTTATAGCTTTCAGTGATAACAGACAGGCAGCGGCACACGTGCCATAGGTTTGCCACCCCTGCTCTGGTCCCTTTTCTCCGGGGCTTTGGAGGAGCCTGGGGGTCACGACGGGGTGCTGGCTTTTGCCCCACCCCCCAGCTTAGCCCCATTTGTGCATCATGGTGCAGAAAGATCACCCACTCCTGTCTTCCCCCCCAGATGCTCCAGAAAACCTGGATAAGCAGACCAAGAAAATAGCCCAGCAGATCCTGGAGAAGCGCGCCTACATCTGTGCCCACCCGCTGGACAGGATGTCCTGAGCCGGGATAGTGCTACTTCCCGCCCTCAGGCCACGGCTGACACCATGGAGAAGCCAGGGCCATCCCAGCTGGACCCACTGTCTCCAGTGGGCACTCGACAGCTTCCTCCTGGCCCAGGGCCTTGGCTGGCTCTGACCCGCAGCCTGTGTCTGACCAGGTCACAGCTGCCCACAGCCTCAGAAAGCGCGGAGTTGCCGAGGCCTGGCGCTATGGCTATGGGACAGGGGAGAAGATACCATGGTGGTGGCCCCAGGCATGCAGGGCTCTGGCTGAGGCAGGGGCAGCCGTTTCTACCGACCACAGGTCAAGAAGCAGCTTGGAGGCTGTGGATGGGTACTAGGAGCAAAACGCACTTCAAATGTGTTGGGAGCCGTTTAACAAAGAATATAAAGTGTGTCCCTTTCTAGCCTTCCTGTACTAGTTCGTTATTTCCCAGAACTGGCTCTTAGTAGCTGCAGTACAGCCCTGAGAGCCACCCTCTGGCAGTGGCTTCTGGCCCCGTCCCCACCCTGGGAGAGGAGGGGCTGACCCCCACCAGGTCGTGCATGGCACAGGGCTGTGACAGCCGTAACCTTCGACCCCTCTCAGGAAGGGGAAGCAGCACTGGCATAGTCAGCGTCCGCCTAGTCCTACGTAGGGCTTTTTGTTTGTTTGCAGGGGTTGGCCTCCCTCCTGAAGAGAGGACGGCAAGGTGTCTTCAGGGGGCACTAACGGGACTTTGCATTTCCTCAAGCTTCAGTCTGGTCCCTGGGCATCTGGGGCTCCGAAAAGCAGGCTGTGCAGGTTACCCGGAGGTGCGGAGGAGACCGGGCTCTCTCTCTCCTTATGGGGGAAGGTTTACAGATACTGTGATTTGGGAAATTCGTGTGAAACCTAGAGTTCTTAGTTTGTTGCCAGTAATTAACAGTGGCAAACAGGCATTTTGTATGAAAGTGAGAGTGGCTACCTGCCATGTACATGCCGGGCCCTGAGGCCGCACAGAGCTCCTCTGCATGAGAAAGCTCAAGCAGCAGGAAGCTGTGAGACCCTGCCCGACTCAAGAGACACCCAGGCACTCGGGGTCTAGGGCAGGTAAGGTCCCCTCAGCAGGTTCTCCATTCACCCAGTTGGGTTTTAAAATCCTTGCTACGACTGCAGGCTCCCTTGTACCTTCTGGTGGTGGAGGGGAGGCCTGCAAGCACTCGGAACCTGGGCCAGCAAGGCTGGCGCAGGGGCAGAGGAGGGACACCCTGTTCTCTTGAGCTGGACAGAGTTCCCAGGAGCCGAGCCTGGGAAAGACCAGCAGGTTAGTGTCCTCTCCCCCAGGCTCACAGGCCCAGGGCCCCTCCGAGACAGAAGGGGCTCAGGCCAGGTGAGGGAGGCGCGCACATCCAGCAAACTCCCTAGCACTTCCACCTGTTCCATGCAGCTGTGCCCACTTCCCCAGCTGTCCTCAAGGGGTCGGGGGAGGGAAGAACCTCCCATTTATGTGAGCTAGGTTTTTGGGAAAGGTTTTTCCGGTAGATTAATGCTAGGTAAAGTGTCTCTCTGAACAAAAGTTCTGGCTCTTAACCAACAAACTTGGGTTCTGCATCAACCTCAAAATGACCTTCAGGTCTCTTCACCAACAGAAGCAGAGAGATCGGGCTTGCTGCAGCAAGGCTCATGCTTCCCGCCTTGCTCCCCACCCCGCTTCCGGCTGGCACACCCCAGGCCTGGGAGGCGGCTGGGCGTCCCCACGAAGCTCCGAGCCCTCCCTCCTGCCCCGCTTTGTAGCTGAGCGGCCAGGCCCAGAGCAGGGACAGGATCTGCCCAGAACCACAGCCAGCATCGCCCGCGGGACTCACACGCAGTGCGTACACCAGACTCGCTCTGAACCCGACTCCCGAGCCTCCCAGGTCTGAAAGTGCAGCTAAAACCAAATGGTTGCAGAAGACCCGAGGCGGGCCAGGGGCTTGGCTCGCACGTCCCGCCCTACCTGTCAGAGGCTTCGGCGCCGGTGGAGGGGGCGGCTCCAGGAAAGGTGGGGGCTTTCTGTACAGCTCAAAGTCCAGGTGCCGTCTGTCCCAGCTCCATCTCTCTCGGTCCAGCGTGGGCTTCAGCACGTTGGCAAACAGCGCGCGCTCCATCCACTCCTGAGGCGGGAGCAGACGGGTCAGGAGGGGAAGGTCCCCGTGGACACGCTGCCTGGGGCCCACCCTCCCTGCAGACCTCCTTCAGCTCCCTGGCAAGCGGCAGTCTGAAGTCTTGGTGGCCTCTGGTGCTGTTCTGAAGACCGGTCACTTGGAACCCGCTGGCTGTGAGCCAGGCCTGGCGAGATTTCTCCTGCGCCTTCTTCTCCTCTTCCTCAGGGTCCTGAGGCTCCACCATGGCCGAGAGGTAATTCTGTGAGTATGTGAATCTCTTCGACGGTTCCTGGAAATGAGGGGCAGACTGGTGGCAAGAACGGCTGGGAGCAGCCTCGGCTACGGCTGGGTTGGCATCAGAATCCCTGGAGGGGCCAGAAACAGCCAGGTGCAGTGACAGTCCCTGGAGACAAATGTGCATCCACGTGAACGGAACCACGCAACAGTCCCGTGAGGGTCAGCTTAGTGTCCCCTTTGAGAAATGAAGCAGTTCCCACTTGCAGTGGTGCTGAAGGCTTTTCCCGCTGGGGGACTCGGCCCTCCCCGAGCAGAACCGAGCAAGGCACCTGCTCTTCCCAGCCGTGTGATTCTGAGATCTGCCCAGGGCCTCTGGCTTACCGAAGTGTGGAACAGGACTCTCCTCCCGGCGCTGACCCCCATTCACTCCCCCAGCTGAGTGGCTTTCGTCTCCACCCCTCAAGTCCCCTCCTGACCTGTGGTCACAAGTGCCCGGCCAGTGGCCATTCACCTGTCGCTCACCTTGGCCATCTCTCGGTACAGCTCCCTCTTGGCAAGCTGCGAGGAGTTCAGGGTCTGGATGCTGTAGTTGTGCACGGGCCCGGCAGCAGGGGAAATCCTCAGCACCTTCGTCACACACTCAGGAGGCCTCCTGATGCTCTCATAGGCTGCTGTGATGTTCCTCTGCAGAAAGACACACCAGTCATGCCCCACGCCCGGTGTCCCCCCGCCCCCCCGACTGCCAGCGCGTGTGCAGTGTGCAGCGTGCAGGCGCTGACTCAGCCTGGAAATTAGTGATGCTGGCTCATCCTAGAACCATGGCACAGGCCATCTAGTCCACCCTGTCCAAAATGGAGCTCAGAGGACCGGGGGCTTGCGAGAGACATCACCTAGCTACTGGTCTTCCACCGGCTGGTAGCAGTGAGCCAGAGTTTGTAGCTCAGATGGTCAGAAGTGGGCATGGTTTTCCTGGGGTGGATGGGGATCTCCAGCCCTAGAGCAGCAAGGGCTGCCATCCTTGACCGTGGTGGTACCGGGAGTGGCACCCAGGGGCAGCTACCGCTGCACTACATCTCCTGCCCTTTTTTCTTTTGAGACAGGGTTTGATAAGTTGGCTAAGCTGGCCTCGAACTTATAACCTCCTGCCTCAGCCTCGTGAGTGGCTGGGATTACAGGTGTGCATGTGCCGCTGGGCCTGGCTTGACTGAGCGCATGCAGACCGTGGCCCTCTCTCTCAGCAGGCCCGGTACGGGAACAGAACTGTCCCCTTGGTAGGGGATTGTTGAAAGTAGGTGGGCTCTGGGCTAGGGGCTGCCTTTGTGGATGAAAACAGCAATGAGATGCGACTGGCTGAGGAGATGAAATAAAAGGTAAAACAGGAGGCTGCAGGGAGGGGATGGGGTGGCCAGCATGTGCCGAGTGTGCACGAGGCCCTGGGTTCCATCCCTGGCCCTGAAAAATATGAACAACAACAGAAAACCAAAGTGGCTGAGGCTCAGAAGAGGCAGGATGGAAGAGAGTTGCCATTTTGAATTATTACTGCGCTTGCCCTTCACCCGCTTAGTCACTTTCAGCAAAATAACCACCTTTTGCTTTAAAATTTTTTTCCCAAGATGATAACCTTACTACTCTGAGAGGCTGAAGCAGGAAGACCACAGGTTTAAGCCCAGCTGGGCAATTTAGCGACTTAGACCCTGTCTCAAAAAATAATTTTTAAAGAAAGTTTTGAGGCTATAATTCAGTACAAAAGCCCCTGGGTTCCATCCCCAGCTAAAAACATGGTGACCTTAACCCCAGTGACTTGGGAAATCTAAGGAACAGCACAAAGCAGTCGGGAAGGGCTGCATTAGTGATTGACATAAGTGAGAAGAAACTTCCGGCAAGAGACCCATGGCTTGGAGTGGCAGGGACAGAGGCAAAGCACGTCACGGGTCACTGGATGAGGGACAAAGCTCAGACCACGCAGCACCTTCATGACTATCCTGCAGAAGTCACAGCTCGAATTTTGCCATGGCCCATGCAGAACCCCAGTCAGAATATCTCATGACTCCTCCTGCCTTTCCAGGGGTCTTTGGTGGGAAGGGCAGTCTGAATTACTCAGTCTTTTTTTTTTTTTTTTGTACCGGGAATCAAACTCAGGACCCTGCACTTACCAGGTAGGCGCTTGTGCCGCTGAGCTATATCCCTACTCGGTCTTCCCACTCCCAGAAGTGAACGTGCCCGGCTCTCCTCAGACCCTACAGCTGGTGGGTACGACCCGGAGACCCGTGCTTCCTGGCTATTTTTTCCTTACAGTTTAGAACTGCGGTTCTGGCCAAACAGTAGCTTGGTCGAGGGAAAGCGAGCGGTAGCCAGCAGTTACTCCGGATGCCTGAGATTCTCTGCCCAAGGCTGACGCCAGCAGGGGAACTGGCCTCACTGCCAGAGTAATGGTAACTTGAAGTCTGAAAACTACTGTAGTGTAACAGACAGACCAGGGACTGAACTGCTAAAGCCCAGCAAAGGTAAATCCTCCCAACTCAGAGAAAAACACCGGGCTGCAAAGGAAGAAGTACCAGGTGGACGTCAGGCTACACACCGGTGACAGTGTAATGTGGAAGATTCGACCTAGGCAGACTATGCACTTAATTGTGAAGAAAAAAGTACAAATTAAGAGGAAAACAAAATTATGGAGGAGGCTCTTTAAGTTTCAGTATCTATGTAGCAGACTCATTCCAAAAAGAGGGAATGAAAGGCCTCCCTCTAAAAAAGAAAAGCCTGTCCTTGGAGACCTAGAGATGAACACTAACAATTAAGAGGCACTTCTAAAATATTCTAGAATTCTAAATTTTTAGCTAAAGTGGTCAAGGGAGAGCAAGCCGTAGCCACTACTTGCAGGCCGTGGTCCCAAAAAGCAGTGGCATTCTGGGCAAGCGGGACAGGTAGGATTTGAATCCGTAACCTGGAACAACCCAGCTGCTGTTCAAGGATGTGAAAGGATGGGACGAAGGCCCTGACCCCAAGCACCCTGCGTTTACTACGCACTCAAGCTTTCTGGAAAAAAATAAAAAATTCAAACGATAGACCTGAGCCCAAGAAATTGCAGCAAACAGAAATGAGCAAAATTTATAGCTGGGCAAGAAGAAAGTAGGACTTCTAGTATGCTGGACTAAGGAGCTCAGGAAATCCTCTCCTCAAAACAATGACAAAGCCATCAAAAGCAACCACCGGACATTGACCAAAAGCATACAAGAAACCGAGAAGTTTTCAGCCATAAATATGTTCTAAAAAATGACCAAATAACCCAATTTTAAAATGAGAAAATGATCAGAATAGATATTTCTCAGAATAAGAAATCCAAATGGCCAACAAGCACTTTTATATACACACACACACACACACACACACACCAGGGAAATGTGAATCAAAGCAACAGTGAAATATTTCACGCCATATTAGGATGGCTATTATTAAAAAAAAATGTTAATGGGAGGCTGAAGCAGGAGGACACACGTTTAAGCCCAGCCTGGGTGATTTAGTGAGACCTTATCTCAGAATTTTAAAAAAGGGCTGGGGATGTGACTCAGTACAAAGTCCTGGGTTCAGACCCTACTACTGCAAAATCAATCACCTGATCAATCTGGCAAAGGTGTGGGGAAAAAACTCACACTGCTGGTAGGAATGTAACAGTAAAACTATCACAGAAAGCAGTATGGAGCGTCCTCAAACAATTAAGACTAGATCTGCTGTACGATCCAACAACCCCACTCTGGATATACATCTAAAGGGTACAAGGCCAGCTGCCCAGAGACCCCTGCATGGCCAAGTCTGCTGCAGCTCTAGTCACAAAAGCTGAGGTATCGAATCAGCTGGGGCGCCCGTCACCAGTGACAGAAAGAGGAGGGTGTGACAGCCACAACTCTTGAGCCAGGAGGAGGAATGAAATCCTCCCTTTGCAACCAAGTGGAAGATATTAAGTGAAATAAGTCAAAGACAAGTATTACGTATTTCCTCCATCTGTGGGAACTTAAATGTAGAAGAATGCTACTGTTGTGGGTTGATCCGTGCATGTGATAAGCATGTACTGTACTATCACACTGAATCCCGTTAATACGTACCACTAGCACATGGTAATAAAAACTGAAATAATACTGTGGGGAGAAAGACGCGCTGACGCTCAGGCAGGCGCACTGGGAATCACTCCTCAGCCAAGTGCGGCTATATCTGGAGTAAGGAAGTGACCTTAGATGAGGTCAGGAGGAGCCTGGATCTGACAAGACAACAGTCTGTAAAAACAGACACCAGGGAGACTGGGCTTGGGGACACCCACCTATAATGTCAGCTACTCTGAGGGCTGAGGCAGGACAATTGCAAGTTCAAGGCCAGCCTGGGTAACTGAATGAGACCATGTCCCAACATTTAAAAAGTGGGGGCATTGGGGATACAGCTTAGTGCTCCCTGGGTTCAAGCCTGAGGTCCACCTATAACCCCAAAAGCAGGGTCAATGAAAGAAAAAATGATAAAATTCATCAAAAGGAAATGTTTACACTTCAAATGTTTTCTTTCATCATGAATAAAGAGACAAGCGAGCCAGGTGTGGTGGCGCACACCTGTAATCCCAGCACTTGGGAGGCTGAGGCAGGAGGATTGCTTGGAGTTCGAGGCCAGCCTGGGTTACAAAGTGAGTTCAAGGTGAGCCTGAACTGCATGGCGAAACCCTGCCTCAAAAAGACAAAAATAAATAAATAAATAAATAAATAAATAAATAAAAGAGAAGCCGCCAATGTAGAAGACTATTTGTGAATAATTTCTGATCAAGCACTTGTATCTAGACTCTACAGTCCTCAGCATTGGGACCAATAACCTACTTTACAATGGATAAAAGAAACATAACACCAGACATGTCTCCATTGCTAATAAGCACATCAAAAGGTACCCAGCACCATTTGTCATCATAAAATGTAAATGAGAAGCGCAGTGAGATGCTTACTGTGAATAGGAAATGTCAAGTCACCTCGTGGTAGCAATTCCTAAGACAAGAGGGACACAATTTAAAAATAATACCGAACACTATTTCCAGCTGATTTTAGTAAATTATAGAAGATAACAGGCTATTAAAATGTGTATGAATGTAGAATGATATTCACCTACATTATTGTAAAACCTCCAAGTCTTGTTTAATAGCATTGTCAAGAAGTATTAAGCCATACATGAACGTGAATGAGATATATTCCTGTCCTTGTCTCTCACTCAGGGAGACTGAGCACTCAGGACTGCTGGACTCTTTAATGGACATGTACTTCCATACCATTTTGTAATTTGTAAGATACTTAAGGCAGACAGCTGGGGATATAGCTCAGTGCCACAGCACCTGCCTGGCAAGTGCAAGGTCCTGAGTTCGATTCCCAGTACCAAAAAAAAAAAAAAAAAGGAAGGCAAACAATAACCAGAGCATAAAATACATATAACACTGTGGAACATGGCCAACAATAATATGGAGGAAAGATCACAGCCTTAAGTTCATGTGTTATTAGACAAGAGAATAAAGATGAACACAAGAGTCAAAGAGCTAGAAAAAGGAGCAAAGGGTTAAGTAAAAAATACAAAAATAAAAGCTGAAGTAAATGAATCAGAAAAACTGAAAACTATTAATACATGCAAGCATAGGTTCTTCTGAAAAAAACTAAAAACCTGGACACTAAAGGAAAAAACAGCCTTTTTGGACTTCATAAAGAACACACACAAGATGCTTACAAGTTACTGCTGATGGTGTATGTGTGTGTGTGTGTGTGTGTGTGAGAGAGAGAGACTGGGAATTGAACCCAGGGCCTTTGCACTGAGCTACATCCCCACTCCTCTTTCATTTTATTTTGAGACAGGGGTTCCCTAAATTGCCCAGGCTGAACTAGAACTTGCAATCTTCCTGCTTCAGCCTCCCAAGTAGCTGGGATTACAGGCGTGCGGCACCATGTCTGGCTTAAGGTCAACTTATTAGGTTACACCTACATATGAACCACTTTATGAGCTTTTAGGAGCTGGGGGAGGGGGACTGCAAGGAGACAAAGCAAAAACAAGAAACCTGGACCCCAGAGGCAGGGAGTAGAGGTGGCTCGTGAGGAAGACTAATTCCTGGCCTGTGTTGCTCAGACCCCTTGTGACGTGTACCCTTAGCAGCTCAGGCAGGAGGTCATACCTGTACCAAACACGCATACACGCATGAGCGACAGTTCTTTCTCTAAGATGAACTCGGACCCTGGCAAACATCATGTGCCTAAGCGCCTTCCTTCTCACCTGCAGGAGGCACAGACGAGGCCAGCCAACACTGACAGTGGACACTTCTGCACGCTCGGCCCTGACCCCGGGCCCTTCCAACCTGCGGCCCCAGGCCGGAGGCAGGTGCCCATGTGCTCTTGGCAGGAGGGAGAGGCCGCCCACCTGGACCAGGTTGTCTTTCTGGGACTGGCTCCTCTCTAGCATGGTGGCCCGCCACTTCAGGTACTTCTCCTGGTGGCTGAGGATCTCGGAGGTGAAGGTGGAGGCCCGGAACCGGAAGTCTTCCAGGTTGGGGGAGGGCTGCGGTGGCAGGGCCAGCAGCTTTTCATCCGTGAGGTCCTCTTGTGAGATGGGGACCCCAAACTGCTGGTTCAGGTCTTTGAGCATGGCCGAGGAAGGCAGCAGGTCTCTCACGATCACCTCCCTGAGCCGGGTGCTGGTGTGGCAGATGTCGTGGATCCTGTGAACAGCCACCCCGTCAGCCTCGCCTGCTTGGTGACACAGGGATGAGCCTCCCTTACAGGAGGCAATGAGAACTCAGAGCGGTAGGTGAGCAGATCCCAGCCTGACGAGCCGGAGCCTTGGCAGGTGCCTGCTCCCTCTTCCTCCGGGTCCCGGACGTTAAGGACCACACACCTCTGCTCTGAGTGTTTTTCTCTGGCTGGTCTCGTGCATGTCCCTTGTCAGCCCCGCCCCACCGTGGAGCTGGAGTCAGAGGGGGGACTCAGAATCCTGCCCTGGGTGGGGGGAGCTAGTGCACACAGCCTCATTCTGAGCACAGCCTGAGGACTGAGTGGTCCTCTCACCTCTCCCAGCCTTCCAAAGGCCCTCCTGGAGCTGGGCGTGGTGGTGCAGGGCTGTAATCCCAGCACTCTGGGAGGCTGAGGCAGGAGGGTCACAAGCTCAAGGCCAGCGTGGAGAATTTAACAAGATGCTGTCTCAAAACAAACAATACAAGAGACTGGGGATGTAGCTCAGGGAAAAGACCCTGGGTTCAATTTCCAGTACCACACAAGAAAACAAAGCAAAGCAAACTCAAAAACTAAAACAGCTCCCCCTTGGTCCCTCTCCCAGGCCTAGCATGGCAGTGCCAGGTCCACATGGGCACTGCCCAGCGCACAAGCCCGCCACTCCCGCGGTCTGGGGTGAGGCCCCCCGCTTCCTGTCTCTCTTGCTCAATTTCTGCTCCTCACCTTTCAGGTGGAAATAAACAGCTGGTGAAGGCAACTCCCCCCCGCGCGCGTAACAAATAGCTTTCTTCTCTCTCCTGGCGCAGGGGCCGGTGACCTCCCATGGTGGGCACCCAGCACAGGGTCCCGCCATCCCCTGACCTCCAGGCTCGTGACCCCAAACGTGCGGCATCTCCTCCCCCCGCTTCCAGCCTGGGAGCTCGGGCAGGCTGCGGGGAAGGACAGTCCCTATGCACCTGCTCGGCCCGGGCAGCTGCCGAGAGTCGGGGAGGAGGGAGAAGCCGCCTCAGCCCGAGTTCTTTCCCCGCGTCTCTCCTCCTGCCACGGCCTTCTCCTTTTTTGGTATTACTGCCACCACCATCTCCACCATCACTGCCTACTATTACAACTAGTTTTCGTGGCACTGCGGACTGACTGACCTTTGCGCTGAGCTACATCCCTAGCCCCTTCTAAAAAATTCTTATTTTGAGATAGGATCTCACGACATCGTTAAATTGTCCAAGCTGGGGTCAAACGTTTGATCCTTCCGCCTCAGCCTCCCAGAGGGTTAGGATTGCAGGCGTGCCCCACCACACTTGGTTCTTTTTGTTTTGTTGGATTTTTCTTTTTTTGAGACGGGATGCTGCTATGTAGTCCAGGCTGGCCTTGACCTCTTGGACATATCCATCGGCTTCAGCCTCCCCGAGGGCGGGGATTACAGACATGCTCCACTATGCTCCGACTTGGCTATTCTTTATTAAACGTTCAAGGAGCACTAGCTGGGATGAGGCGGAGGACCTTCCGCCACCCTCCCCCTCCCCTCCCTCC